TCCGTTTTTTCTTTTTAATCTTTTGCATCCTAGCAATCAAAATTATCTAAATAATCTCTTTTTAAAATCCATAGTAAATATTGTACATGTTATTAATCCAGGCGCTTCATCAATTAATATTTACTCTTTAAAGCTGCCTATACACAACCTTTTAAGAAGGATTACATACATGATATATACTGAAACCAACAGGGGCTTCATCTTTTTGACATCTGATCCCATCTGTTTGATAGAAAACAAACGTAATACATCGTATTCAATATGTTCGTGAAAAATTGACTAACACTTATCTCTGATGACACGTTATTTGCAATGATGCAACAACATGTTTTCGAAGGCTGTTTTGTCTCAAGGTCGGTACGATAACTTAGGCGTCGTCCTGGATACAGAATTTTAATTGCACACTAAAAGTACATTTCACTATATAATATCAAAGAGATTGAACATCTTCTAATTTATGTCTTTTTTTCTAAACAACTGTCTCATCAATAGCCGAAATTGGTTGTTCAGATAATGGTACTGCTGACGGTGGTGCATTGACATAAACAAATCTTTGAATAACAGGTTTACGTTTTTTCGCTTGTTTTTCTCGTTGAATTCGTTTCAGTTCTTTTCGAGTTGGATCAATACCAAAACAATATTTCAATACGTCCATAATCACAACAAAAATTGCCACTATTGTCATAGCAATGATGGCAATATAAGTAAATGATTTCGAAATAATCCTTTAGATAAATATTTTCTCAGCAATTATTTCACAATGTCGACCAGAATGACTCTCATCAAAACATTCACATGTGTAATTCATTAACAATGAACGACAAATACCTTTACCTTCACATGTGATATTAAAACAATAGTCAACCTTTCTTTCACACTGATTATCTTTCCAACCAGGTGCACATGTACAGTTCAATGTTGTGGTTGATATTTCCACACATGTGCCTATAAAATCGATGGATTATCACTCTTGACCATAAAGAAAGAATAAGTACCATTACTCCAACAAATATTTTTTTTGCAAAGTCGATGATCGAATTGGTATTGTGTACTACTGAACCCAGATGCACATAAACAATAATAACCTTGGTTGTCGTCCGTGTTAGGGTGTGGGCGTGGGTGCGGGTGTGAGTATGGGTATGGGTGCGGGGGTGTGGGTAGAGGGTGTCGGAGTGGTGTGGGTGTAGATGTGCTTATGGGTGTGAGTGTCAATCCCACACCCCTACACCCATACCCAAGAGTTATTAGGCCAATTTATAATCTTCTGAGTTCTTGTCCTTGACATTCAATAAAAAGTAGTTCGATTTTTAAACGAAAAAAAGCCAAGCTCTAACATCAAGCAATATCCATATTGTCCATTTTTTGTCTATTTAAAACAAAGATTCAGTCGAATGGCACTTTGCTCTGATAATTGAATCCGATCATCTAATTTGGCTATTTCTTCTACGATTCATATTCAGATCGTAATTATAGATATCCAAAGGTCTAAATAGTATAAAAAAAGACAAGTTTACATATGACTTCAATGGTAAAAATGAGAAATTTTGAATAAAAAACATATGGAATAATGGTGATAAAAATGGATGATACACATGATCATTCTTTCGTTGAAGTTTTTACTCTACAAGTCAATTTCGCTTTCAGAACTGGCTGAGATAAATTTGTTTTTCCCGAAAATAAATAAAATTTCTTTTCTGTTTTGTTTGTTTTATATGAAATTCTTCAGTAGATAAAAAGAAAAAGAATTTCACCAAATCAAAGAATTTCTTTTTAATGCATCGGTTTAAAATGATCAACAAGGTTTCATTCACTCAGACTCAGATAATTTTGATTTATTTTTCTTTCGACAAAATTATTTCAGTGGTGTATAACGTTAACAAAAAGAATGATACGTAAACAATATAGATACATTGACACATTGACAGATTCTATTTAAAAATATTAAGATATGAAATACTTCACGATATGTTATGATGTGAAAACACATTCTTGATGTGACCTAAGCCATGGTTCTTTGAGACTGATTTCAATTCCAACGTATCTTGGAACCGAATTTCGTTCTGACACAGGATTGGCATCATTTTGAGATATCTAGATGCTATTGCAAGCAAGCAGCAACGTTTTTCTATCAAAACGTGACATCAATGATGGTAACAACATGAATAATACAAATATTGAAATACACGAAAATGCAAAAGTATTTGAGACACACTTTCTTCTTGTGACTATCCAGAGTTGTTGCCATAGAAATCTAGTTTTTCATATGAAAGATCGTTGTCGCTGAAAATTTCTGAATTCCACTATTGAGATACTGACAGAATCGGTCTATTGGTCTGAGCGAATTTTTAAATAAAGTCTAGTTTTAACGCTATTTATCAAAGCACACAATAGCACAATACCAACGTAATATTCATTAGAATATATCGCCGAATGATCATTTCCATAATGATAATTCACGAACGTATATTCTTTCTAACAACGAAACATTCAAAGAATAATAGAGAAACAATTTTGATGACAAATTAAACGAGTACCGTTGGTACGAATCACATCCGTGATGTTTATTTAGCTATACTCTACTATTTCACATTCCAGTTGCTTTCTGTTCTCTTTTCACACATCCTTGAATTTCTGCAGCCAGTAGAAGTTCATCATTCTATGGTATTAAATGGAATGAGAATATTATTTCGTCGTCTGATTGCCTTTCGATTCAGGCAGTTCTCTTAAACTAGTTGATGTGTCCAATGAGTCTATTGTTTGGATCTCCAATAGTAAATATGGTATTGGCAAAATGTTGCACCGTTTAGATGAATTTTGCGTAGGCGATTCTACACGATATGAAGCTGAGCGTACTTGTGCAATTATCTTATTGTTAAAATAATAGAAACACACTGTCATGATTGGAAAAAGCTTAACGACTTATAGAAAAGCATACAATGAACACTCCGAAATCTAATTTATGCTTCACAAACTAAATAATTTGAGAGTTTTAGAGGAAAAGGATGAAGGATTCTTAAGTAGAATATAGCTCAAGAGGGAAAAAGCTAGCAGAGATTTGTTCAATGCTTCAAGTGGAGAAACTTTTTCCGTCTCAAGCTGTATTCTACGTACGAATCGTTCATCCTTTCCATCTAAAACTCTCAAATTCTCTAGTTTCTAAAGCATAAACTAGATTTCAAGGTGCTCATTGTATGCTTTTCTCTAAAAGTCGTTAAGCTTTTTCCAACCATGATTGCACGTTTTTATTACTTTTAAAATTGTGTGTAAATAACTGGAGCGACTACTTCGAACAATTTGATGATATAAAAACTCGATTAACTTGTTTTTGAAATTTTTTTCTTGAAAGCATCACCAGTTTTGGACTGACACAGTATTCAAGAAGAGAATAATTTAGATTTTTGATTTTCTTTGAATTTGACTTGATTTCGGATTGATTTTGGTGATTTTTTCGCAGCTTTTGGTTGACAACTGATTTTCTTGATTGTGAATTGATTTTTTTAATTTAGAATTGTTTTAAAATTAAAAAAATCAGCTCTTTTCCTCTTGGATCAGCCACATTTTGAACATGTTATTCAAATATTTATTCGCCCTTGATTTCCTTGCCATCAACTTGAGGGGGTGGGTGTGAGTGAACATCATCTCCCCATTTAGTTACACCCACACTCACATCTAAATTTAACTTTTTACATCTCGAAATTTCGGGCTCACTCTTCTAGAGTAATTGTGGCCAATTTTCACAGAATGCCGATAGCAATCAGTATTCAGCTCATGCTTTTATAACAAAATACTAATAGAATATCAGTTCTGTCGTCAAGATCTTTCTAATTAATAACATTATGCAACTGCGATAAAATTTAGATATTAACAAACCTTAAAAAAAAGTTTAATGTAAAAATCTTGGATGTTAGCTCGCCTTATCTTTTAGTCTGCAGTAGCATCCTATTTCAGTTTCAGATACCTTTCAACTGCCTAAAGTAACGAAGTATTTCAAATAAAAACAAGTGAAATCTATCAATGGTACAGAAATCGTATCATTATTCAAAAGAAAACCCGAAGAATAGTTAGCTGTTTTTATACGATATTTGCTGTAAGTTTCTAGTTGTAACTTTTTGAAAGAAATGTTCTTTCTTTCTTAATATTGGCATACTAAACGTGACGAACTTAAACAGGAGTTCTTGGTATTAGAGACTTCAAGAATTATATAAGTTTGATATTGTTTCTCTGTGTAGAACTGAAGCAGCAAACTGTTTCGCTAAAGAACGGACTAGCTAGTTAATATATGCAGTGCTCTGGTTTTTTGCCAGTCAAATCAAGAATTGTGACTGACCGATTTTTGCCAGTCAAAACAAAAGTTTGGACCGACCGATTTTTTGCTTATTTTTCGCTGATCAAGCCAAGAATTTTGACCGACCGGTAATTGATGGGCCCAGTCCAATCCGATCCGAAAATTTTCGACTGGTTCCAGCCATGTCACACCCACACTTTTCTTCTACAGTGCCGTTGCTTGACGGAGTAAGATAACGCTTTTTGTTATTGCGATACTATTTATCAGTAATGAATCAGGTCCGTCATTAATCATATCAAACTTTTTTTAAGCTCGAATATTCATTTTGGATACAATCAGACAATCTATTCTTACAATTTCATTCTTCAGACAAGGATGTCACAGTGAGAAACTCGAATTTCAGGCGAAAGATCAAGATGAAAATGTCGATTTTTGGATGAAAAATAGTTTTACGACAAAGCAGTTTCATATTGATGCATCAAAATGCTTGATTTCTGCAATTTGTAATTTTCTGTTCTTCAATAAATTGATTCAAGATAATTCAACAATTCAGGAGATTTGCAAATATTGGTCATGAACAACCTTCTTGAAATCAAGCCGACAACGTCGATGTACATATTGGAAAATGTGAGTGTAAGTGTTACTGAAGAGAGGACTAACACCCACACGCTACATGTCGAAATGTAAAAAAAAGCAACATTACAAGACACATAAATCATCATCAAGATTATATTCTTCAAAATGTTGTACTTCTTTTCGAATAAACTATCCTAAACTCTTAGCTAAAATGTTGATAGTATTACCCTACTCAATATTTTATAATTATTCAATGAAGAAATAACATAAATTGAATGTATATATGACAAAACTCTATGGATGAGTTTTGCTTACTTAATTGAATAGTATGTGGGTGAGTGTGAAATGAGTAGCCTCATCCACACCTTACGAAAAAAGGAGCCCTACCATTAAATGTGTTCTGTTAGTTAATTGAAAAAAAAAGTGAAAATCAATTTTTATTTCGAATATGAGTAAGTGGGATAGAATTATGTTGAACAATATGACCAGATGTCACGATATTCAGAAATATTGGCCGAATATTGCGCAACATTTCAGGATACGATAACAGTGCAATGAATTGATAAAGTAATTGGACGATAAATGACATTAAATAGATGTAGTTTAGTTGTTGTTCGATAAGAAAAGTGAGTAACCAAAATACATTGATTACTAATATTATATTTAACGGCATCCATAAAATAAGATATAGAAGTGTAATTGATAATAATTGTAATGTTATCTTCCGATCTGCGCTTCCACTTGTAGACTTGTAATTACATAGAGCGTTTTTGCAAGAGAACTCGTATGAAGAGTGACATTGATGCAATCAGTATGATTACAAA